TGATCATCAAATCCAAATTGTTTGTGTTCTCATATCCATTAAAGCAATTCCCTTGGCCAGTAAATGTAATCACTTGTCACGAACTCGTTATTCTTCCTTGTTAATAACGAGTGAAAATTTATTCATGACTAAGTCCCTCTTAGATTCTTTGAATTGTAAGTTAGGGATCAGAGAAATGTATACATTTCATTCAATACACACAACATTTATTGAATAACATTAGAAACTTAAATAAACTTTATATATCATCAAAAATTCATAATATGACATTTTCCAAGTTAAGAAGAAGCTTACTTATTAAACTAAAAAGAAACTAAAATCAAATCCATTACGCCAACATCTTCTTATTCTCGGCATCTGAAAAAATAAGATAGTGAGTCAAATACTTGAGAGTTGATCACTGATTGAATTTAGTAGCCACTGTTATAACAACTTCCAAGCTTTTCAAATCTTCAGCTTCTTGAAGTTGTTGGAAAAACAAATATGCTTCATATTGAGCATTAATTAGTTGTTGTTATTAACAAAAACATAATATATTTGTAGTTAGAATAAACTAAAAATGATTAGTGTAGATCTTAGCTTGAATACCTGAAGTTCTGAAATCAAATCCTTCTTAATTGGTAACTTGTCTAGAAACGATTGTCTCTTCTTCTGTAGTTCTTTTGACTTTGCCGCTTCTTTCTCCTTCGCATGATAATTTTGTGTTCTAGTTCTTCAATGATTATTGCAAGCCATTTCATATTTCCAGTTGAGATCATGAAATATATTATGGATAATCCAATACACAGTCCACTATCATAGACCATCAGGGCGGCTTTCCAAAAGTTACAGAGAAATTCAGAATTGCTTTCTTGATTGTCTAGCGCAGATACTGTATAATTTGTCTCTGACACATGATCATTGCCACAACCTTTTGAAACTGGAAATCCACGCAATCCATCATTACCTTCATATGAATTTCTCTCTAAGGTATGAAATTGAGGTCCTTGAGGGATGCATCCTAGGAGATAATTGTGGGAGAGATTTAAGAATTCAAGAGATGTTAGAGAAGCAAGTTGTTGTGGTATCTCTCCCGAAATCTGGTTAAACGAAAGGTCCAATGATTCCACTACAGATAAACTTCCAAGTGGTGGTGGTATATGACCTTGCAATCGATTATGAGATAAATTCAGTACCCGAATCGCAATGAGATCTCCCAGAACACCAGGAATATGTCCTTCAAATTTGTTGTTTGAAAGATCTATAACTGTGTACAAAGACAAAATTCTCACAACTTCTAGCTTCAATCCCTTTGATACAACTACCACCGAGTCTTGGTAATCTCCATTTCCTTCATAACTTGGTAACTTCATTGTTTGATCAATTGTCCTCATACCTTTCAAATGTTGAAACAGACTCGTTGGTAAGTCTTTTGAGAAGGCATTGTTAGAGAGATCTATGATTCGAAGATCAGGAAACATGATTTCAGTCCCTGAAGATCTTATGGGTCCATGCAATTTATTCAATGTCAATCTTAAAACTCTCAGCTCTGTCAAAGCTCCCAACCACATGGGAAATGTGTCATTGAGGTGATTCTCTCCCAGATCAAGAACTTGCAACTTTTTGCAATTGGACAACGACCGAGGGATTTCCCCCTCTAGTTCATTGCCATGCAAATTGAGACTTATAAGTGAACTTCCAATGCTAAAATTTGTTGGAAGAGTCCCAGAAAGTTCGTTATTCTGCATATCAAAAACTTGGAGGCTACTAATATTGCCAAAAGATTGTGGAATTGCTCCCCCCAGATTGTTTCTGCCCAAATCTAGTATTCGCAGTGATGTTAAATTGGAAATAGATGAAGGGAGCTCTCCACTGAGATTATTATGTGACATCATCAATAACTGGAGGCCACTGATATTACCCAAACATTGCGGAACTTTTCCCTTCAAGTTGTTATCATTAAGAAACATACAAGACACGTTCAAATTCCCCAATGAAGCAGGAATAGAACCACTAAGAAAGTTCCTACCCAAAGCTAGCATAGTAAGAGACCTTATGTTACCTATTTCTTCAGGAATAGTGCCAGAAAGGTGATTATAAAAAAGAATCAAAATAGCCAAGTTGTTCAAATTTCCCAATGAAGCAGGAATAGAACCATTAAGAGAGTTATTACCCAAAGATAGCTTAGTAAGAGACCTTAGATAACCTATTTCTCCTGGAATGGGGCCATTTAAATTGTTTACAGATATACGGAGGGTTAGAAGCTTAGCTATTGAGCCGATTTGTGGTGGTATTGTTCCTGAAATCTGATTGAAGTTTAAGTCAAGATAGACAAGATTAGTGAGATTACCAATCTCAGGTGGAATGGTGCCAGAGATGTTGTTCATGCTAAGATCAAGATTCTCAAGAAAAGGGAGAGATGAAAATGGAAAAGCATACAGTGTAGCACTGACACTAGCATTTGTAATATTCAACGTGTTCACCCTACCATTAAAGCATATAACTCCATACCAGTCCCTGCATGCGTTAGAACTTGGCGTCCATGAAGCCAATAAGGAATTATTCTGGTTCTTGAAAGTTGCTTTCCATTTCAAGAGGGCAGTTGCTTCATCAGTGGAAGCAAAAGTAATTGTAAATCATATCATATATTATTATAAGTAGGAACCTCCTAACCCAAAGTTGATTTACCGTTTTAACCCTACAATATTATTTAAATATTAATTTATTAAAAATATTAGTTAAATATTAATTTATTATAAATTAAATTTGCTGTCAGCCCTAATTTAATTCTTCAGAAACGTATACTTCCTGTTCAACGTCCCTCGCGATCGCTGTAACAGTCGTGTTGTTGCTGCTCAACCTTCCCTTCTGCAACGCTCAAGTTCCATTACTTAAATTATCCCTTCTTCCAAAACCTTTTCAGATACTCCACTCATCTGTATAAATATCTCCATTAATCTGTTTCTCTTTTCTGTGCCAGAATGAAATACATCATTATCCGGTAAATATTTTTCCTGCTTTGTTTTTGTTGCATAATAGTTACGGTCAATTGTCAACAGAACTATGATCATGAACGAAGGAGAGGACAATCAAAGAGTCCAGTGCACATTCTGATCGTAAGGATGATAACCCTTAGACTGGTACAGTTCCATGTATTGTTTTCCATCACCATGCTGAGCCATCCCAAGCTCCCACATCATCAATAGTTTCTTGGTAGTGCTCAAGTAGAAAGTTTTATCCGGGATGATATGAACAACCTGTGATGGAAAACATATATTGGAGTTTATGCAGTCTTCAGTTCCTTTTTATCTTCTCGACTGTTTTGTTTTTTTACTTGTAATCATTCACTTCTGTTAAATGTTGTTTTGTGGTTTTTAAACACTGCAGGTGTTTTACTTTGCTGTAGGGGACAATAGGTCGAGGGCGCTTTCTTAAGGTTAATCTACTTTCCTGACCTTGACGCTTTGCTTTTGCTCTGTTTTGCTGCTACTTGAAAATATATGTACACCCTTAGTTTCCTCGCACATTGCGATCAGTTTTACTTGATAGCTTTTAGATGGTCTTATATGAAC